CAACTTCTCCAAAGCAAACAGTGTTCGTGACCCCACACAGAACTCAGAAGATCTTACCTCTCATGTAAAACCTGCAGGTGCTTTCTCTTAATGAAACAAGCCTGGCAGGAATGTCAAGTATATGCTTTTGCTCCACCACACCAGCAGTGTCTCAATACGCAAGGAATGGGATACGTCGACATACTTTTTCTGGCCCAGAAGGAAGGGGCTGGCTCTGAACAAACAAGTGTGACTCCCTGCAAGAGTGCGTATTATCAGGTTAGGTAAGCACGAAGGTGACAAACGAGAGTTTCTGCTAAAACTCATCGCAGTGCATGTGTGATGCAATTCTGAGAAGATACACTTATGTATGCTGTGCTTCACCAGGCAGACCTGAAGTTTTCGTTTTGTTTTCCCGGATCCATTTCTGAAGGAATGTCACTGTGGATTCCAGCCTAGCTCATTCCAGTCTCAGATAAAGTTGCCAACTCCCCCCACCCCCCACCTCTGGCAAAGTCCTTGTCCTTTTTAACAGTTGCAAACGGTTCAAGCTTTCCTGACTGGAAAATATCTGTGAACAGCACAGAACGCCCGCTGGGAAAACAAAGCTGGTGGAACTGAGGTGCAGGCCAGCTTTTGCTGAGCAAGTCCTTGCCTACTTGGACCTAATGTACCTCAGCGTACTGGTAAAAAATAGAGGGAAAAGAATTGTGAAATACCAAAGAGTGCTGTAAAGTGGATAGGTAGTAAGAACAGCTGAATAACAAGTAACAGTGCAAGCTTGGCGCTTGGGTACACACCGTATTTTTAAACACACCCCCTAAGAACTGTAGTTTATCCCTCACTGAACTTCCATTCCCAGCATCCTTAACAAACTACAGTTCCCAGAAATGGCCGGGGGTGTCCGGATCCTAAGTATGTAACTAAGGGGTTTACTTCCTATATGTCTATCTCTCCCTTGCTTTTTTTATTGGGCCAGGTGCTAGAAGAGTGAAATTGTATTCTAAATCCATACTGTTACTTTTAAAATGAAAATATTTTGAGGTGGTAAGTGGTGCTGGGTTCTGTTTTTGTGTTTTTTTAATGTTGTTTTAGACCCATCTCATACAGTCCACACTGACTGGCAGCCACTCTCCAGAATTTCAGGCAGAAGTCTCTCCCATCGCTACCTAGATGCGCTGCTGTTGAGCCTGGGATGTTTTGCATGAGAAACAGGTGCATGCAGCTACAGCCCTTCCTAAAAATGCTTCTTGGGAAATTCCAGGAGAGCTATATAGTTTAAAATAAATAAATGGAGGAGGAGGAACACGTGCTCCAGAACTGTTTTCCGCTTGTCTCGTGGTGCTCTCTAGGCATGGGTGTGAGCAGCTTTTTGTTTGTACCACCACTTTTTCCAGGAAAACCTGCTGAAAATAATAATTGACCCCCCCCCACGGTGGGTTTTCTGGGGCAGGGAAAGCGACAAGACAAGCAAAAGTGTGGATGAGCCCTTTGTTAGGGCACGAAGGTACTTCGTGGCATCATCTAGCTAGCAGCTCCCAAGGCATGGGCTTTCCATTTTGCATTTCGAATAACCCCATGCCATTCAGTAAGAATACACGTAGACCAGGGTTTCCCAAACTTGGGTCTCCAGCTGTTTTTTTTGGACTACAACTCCCATCATGCCTAGTTGGCAGGACCAGTGGTCAGGATGATGGGAGTTGTAGTCCAAAAAAACAGCTGGAGACCCAAGTTTGGGAAACCCAGATTAGACACTTGCTGGCTTTTAACACTTAGGCTTTTCTTTGCTTTCTGCTGTGTTTGGGACTTTTTAGTTTAGAGAAAAGATAAGTGAGAGGTGACACGATAGAAGTTATAAAAGTATGCATTGCATGGAGAAATTGGAGAAGGAAAAGTTCGCCGCTGCCCCCTGCTACCTCCTCTTATAAACACTAGAATTTGTGGGCCTCCACTGAAGCTGAATGTTGGAAGATAAAAGAAAGCACTTTGCCATTCAGTGCACAGTTAAACTATGGACCTAACTCCCACAGGAGGCAGTGATGACCACCAACCTGGTTGGCTTTAAGAGAGGATTGATGGAGAGAAATACTGTATTTTTCGCTCTATAAGACGCACTTTCCCCCTCCTATAAAGTAAGGGGAAATGTGTGTGCGTCTTATGGAGCAAATACAGGCTGCGCAGCTATCACAGAAGCCAGAACAGCAAGAGGGATCGCGAAAGCAGTGATCCCTCTTGCTGTTCTGACTTCTGGGATAGCCGTGCGAAGCCTCTTCAGGGTAATGGGAGGAACGTTCCGCCTGCCCTGAAGAGCTTGGCATGGCTATCCCAGAAGCCAGGATAGCAAGAGGGATCGCTGCTTTCGCTGCACAACGATCCCTCTTGATGTTCTGACTTCGCTTCGCTGGAGAGGCACTGCGCAGAGAGGGAGAGAATATTTTTTTTCTTGTTCTCCACCTCTAAAACTAAGAGCATCTTATGGTCGGGTGCGTCTTATAGCATGAAAAATACGGTAGCTTTAAAAGAAGGCTGGTGATGGCAACTGGCCATGACAGCTATGCTCTGCCTCCGCAATCAGAGGCAGTAACACTTCTGAATGTCACTTGCTGGGAAACACAGGAGAGAGTACTCTTGTGCTCGAATCCTTGCAGGATGCCAGACAAGATGGGCCATGGGCCTGATCTGGCGGACGTATATTCTGGTCTGACTGTATTGTGGATTGCTGTAGTGACTGTATTTAACATCTGTGCTTTGAAGTTTTGTGCATACCGCCCCGAGTATGTACAGTGGTACCTTGGGTTAAGTACTTAATCTGTTCCGGAGGCCCGTTCTTAACCTGAAACTGTTCTTAACCTGAAGCACCACTTCATCAAATCTATACCCATAGAGCATCACGCAAACACTGGAGGCCATTGGTTTTACCCATGTAGTTAAAGGTAAAGGTAAAGGTACCCCCGCCCGTACGGGCCAGTCTTGACAGACTCTAGGGTTGTGCGCTCATCTCACTTAAGAGGCCGGGAGCCAGCGCTGTCCGCAGACACTTCCGGGTCACGTGGCCAGCGTGACTAAGCTGCTCTGGTGAGCCAGCACCAGCGCAGCACACGGAAACGCCGTTTACCTTCCCGCTAGTAAGCGGTCCCTATTTATCTACTTGCACTTAAGGGTGCTTTCGAACTGCTAGGTTGGCAGGCGCTGGGACCGAACGACGGGAGCTCACCCCGCCGCGGGGATTCGAACCGCCGACCATGCGATCGGCAAGTCCTAGGCGCTGAGGTTTTACCCACAGCGCCACCCGCGCCCCATGTAGTTGGAGGCCAATAAATACAGCTGGTGTAATTAATGTTTAAAATGCAGTGCATTGGTTTTTATTATGCATTCTGCATTGTTGTTTTTGTTTGCAATTTTATGTTATGAACCACCCTGAGATCTATGGATGAAGGGGTGGTATAGAAACATAGCTGTCAACTTTCAGATTTGAAAATAAGGGATCAGCAGCTTCACCTGTCCCGGGGACAGTCTACAGGATATCTAACAACCCGGGATAGCAGCGGGAAACGGTGCTGGAATAAGGGAATTTCCTGCAAAGAAAGGGAAGGTTGACAGCTATGTATAGAAATCAAATAAATAAACAGTATTCTGTGTTAGCCATTTCAGAGCAGCACTAGTAATCTATGGCAAGGATTGTTTTCAGCAGACAAAACTGATGCTGAAAGGGTTTTTCTCAGAGCAGAAAGTTTGAAAACCACTGCCGCTTTGCTGTTCACAGCCAGCACCAAGGCTTGAAAGGCAGTCTGTCTCGGCCGTAAGAATACTTGAGGTAAAAGCAGACTGGGAAGGAAGGCCTCAATGGGGAAGAAGAGAAGCAGGACTTCCACTTGCTGACTCTTGCCTTGCTTCCTCCTCCGGCCTTATGGCTGCTTTTGAGGTTACATTTCATGGATATGTGATTGATTCATATCCGTCACAGTGCCTTGCAACATTATTCATTCAGATTTCTATATAAATTGCCCAACAACAGGCTAATAAATTTACATGCTTATCCTCCTCTACGGCAACAATACTGTTGGGTAAGTAAAGCTGAGAATTAACTTCCCATAGATCACTGTAAGGATGCTAGACTAGATGGTCTAATCCAGCAGGTTTTTTTAAATTTCACCTAAGGGTACAGAGCGAGCTTATTGTTATACCAGGCATATTAACTGGGGGGGGGGGGGAGTGGTAGCATGAGGAAGCCTTCCCATTAATCCCAAGCAGAAGGTAAACATTTTCCACCGCTAGTTTCATCATTTAGGGTCAAAGACAGCTCCATTTTACTACCTGAAGCTCAAAACAGAAAGATCAGAACATGTGGAGCTTTGTCTCTCCCTGTCTCTGTTGGTATGATTAGAAAATATAATTATCACCCTATACCTGGACTGTAATAAGAGTTTCACATTACATTTTTAACATGTGCTATTCACACAAAATGTTTCTTTCAACCCCTAAAAATGTGACATTTGCGCTTGTGGTTCCGAAATTGTGTGCCAGGGCACATACAGGAGGGCTTGACATGAGTGTCCAGAAATTAAGCTGCCATGTTTTATGCATTCACCACTCTAAACCCATTACAGTAATGGAGTCCTAGGCAGCCTTGATTTCCCACGACTACCAATATAAGGGCAGTGACATCACTGCAAAAGGTTGAACTGAGATTCCTCAACACAGCCTGCAGTACAGCTAACAGGGATGAGAGAACGCAGAATAACCACCACTGCCAAAAAACACAGTCTCGCCCCTGACCTCTGACTGACTATCCAAAAACAGGAGAGTGGGGTGCTGGGAGGCAAAGAACTTTTTGCAAGTAGGGTGTCTGCCTGGTTTTTTAATTTTTTTAATTAGAAAGAGAGGGAGAGGGATGACTGAAACTATGGTATGTGTCTCTGTCTGCATGTTTTGAGGTGGGGTGGAGTGTGTGTCTAATTTGAACCAAGAAAAGGTGTTTGGGGAAACCTGCATCGATGCACAACAAAGAGGCGTTTCTTATTAACATATTTATTTGATGTTTGTCCCACCTTTGGATCCAGAAGGATTCCCAATGCTTCCATTAAAATAATACAATATAATAATGCTATCACATATAAACGTGCATACAAAAACGAATCTGACTTGGTTGCTAAATGCATACATGATAAACATTCTTTCACTTCTGTGTATGAGATTGCCCTAACTCCCACTTTTATCTGACAGCAAAGTTCAGGAGAGGTTTAGGGTTCATCCACACCAACTTTTGCTCCGAGTGATTAGTTTCAGTGCCGAGTCTGTGATTCTACTGGTTAAGTTTTCTTCCCTGTTCCACTGGGTCACAGCGGAGCAAATCTGAACCTCAGTTGAAGGATCCATTGAATGTTAGTGCGTGGGACATAATTTGTCATAGACTTGACTGGATCTCCACATTAACAGCCACCATGTTTAAAGTTTTTTATATCTATCTACCCACTAGTAACGTCTGCGGAAGGTTCTGCAATCTTCCAGTTCAGAAGGAAATATTTCACTTGGCCAACCTTTTTGGTCCAGGAGCACAACTGGATTGGGGGGGGGGGAATGCTTTGGGCATCACCTACTCTGGTTGCTTCTCTCCCCGCCCAGCAAACTCTCCACACCCCTAAGACAGAAAGAGAGACAGCACAGGCACACATTGCTTTTCCATGGTATCTGTGTGAATATCAGATCCAATAGAATTAAAATATATCCTTTTGAATCTGCATGATTTTACAAAAAAAAAACCACTGTCAAATTAAAACTTGCATTGGTAAACTGCGCAGTAAAAATCACAGATCTGGTGAATTCCAGGACCACAAAAATATTGACCCACGGCATAGGTCCTCATAGTTCTCCACCAACAAATCAATGTAAATACATAAGTAAACACAGAGGTAACCTACAATTACCCAAAGCGGCCATTGAGTGGTGGCTTTTGTCTGTTTCCTACAGTAGGCCAGTGTCAGATGTTGGTATTGGCCTGTTTTTTCCTGTTTATGGTTATAACTGGATCACTTTAGGTCTGTGGAAATACAATTTGTATACCAGCCTATGAGAACTATTAGATTTGCAGGGATCCTGGAAAGGACTTTTACACTGGTGACCCTCATCCAATTCCTAATGAAGTTTTGATGTGAAGATGCACTTGTTCTCTGCCACTTTTGTGGAATGATTTTAACTGGGCTGTGGAGGTGGTGAATCTGCTTTTATTCAGCAGTATTGTTCTATGACTGAACAGAGCAGAATGCTTTTATGGCTATTTTATGAGTATTAGAATCATAGAATTGTAGAGTTGGAAGGGACCACAAGGGTCATCTAGTCCAACCCCCTGCAATGCAGGAAACTTTTTGCCCAATGTGGGGCTTGAACCCACGTCCCTGGGAATAAGTGTCTCATGCTCTTCTTGAATGCTTTAAAATTTTAAACTATGTCATTTTTATATTGTTGCTATGTGTTGTTTCATTCACACATTGTGCTTTGTGAGGATACTTTCTTGAAAAGGGGGATTAAAATCTATTCAATTGGATTAAATTAAAATTGCACAACTGCGTACCTTCTGGAGAAAAGACTTCCAGAAAATTTTCTAGGAATAAGATCATGGAATTCATAGGAACTTGGGCATAGTTAATTTGGGAAGTGAATATCTGAAAGTATAAACTAATAAATACAATAGTGCGTAGGAAGAATCCCTGTCATCAGCATCCCATTAGCCTGGATGCGATATAGCATGGTTAGGAAACTAACAACAAAGCAACCCGAGTCAAAAAAAGGTAGTGATTAGGTAGGAGTGTTCTATGTGCTCACCAGAAGTTTCTAGGCACCTAATTTGTAATAGCAGATATTAAGCATGACTGTGCTACAGGAAAAGACCATGAATATTCCCATTCCACAGAGCCTTCTTGCTTTTGTCATCTGCATTGTTAAATACCTTCAGGGAAAATGGTAATATACCTTGGAATCTTATGTCTTCACATCTGCCCAACCCTGACTTTCGAAATGCACTTACTTTTGACATTTCTTTCCTAATAATAGCAACAGAAGCAGAGCAACAGAAAGACACGAGGCATTTAATTTCTAATGTAAATATTACTTTCCTAATGTACGCAGGCACTGCAGATGTGTGAACCTTAAGACACTACATACCCAGTGAAGTAACACAGGCAAACGGCATGGTTGCATTCCTTCACTGTTGAGCATTCATCTTGGTTTACTTGCACAAGTTTACATAGAGGTTAGATTATGTCTAGTATTTATTGAGCATTTGTTCTGATTTATGTGGAGGTTGTGTTATTATGAGCATTCATCCCAATTTGCTTGAATAGTGTTTATATGTTACTCGTTTGCTCATCAAAACCTTTTCAGTACATTTATGTCACTTTCCTTACCACAAAGTTTGGGGTTTTTTTAGTGTCTTTGTTGTGGTAGTATGCCAAAACACTTTAATATACTTTAATTGTACAAACCTTAATTTCTGGTACACGCTTTAATTCCTCCTACATTTCTGGAGGCAACCTTTGTCAGCCAATGATGACAACGGCATTTTCAGGAGCCATTAGGAATTTCCAAAGGCATGTAACATCTCTCTGAATATGGCAACTCCAGGTGTAATTATTTTCTTAGTATTCATAGTTGATTTTTAAGATGATCTGTGAGAAATAATAATAGAAATCAGAAAGAAGAGTAACAAAAATCAAGAGGGAAAACTTGAAACATTTTGAGTGGGGACCCAGATAAATCGTCCCTTTACGTAGTACAAAACAACTGGGAAGTACATGAGTTTCCAATAATTAAACTGTGTCTCCATTGTTGAAGACCTTGGACTTCTGAGGAACCATTAAAAATCCAGACTTCTGTTATATTTATTCTCTATGTTAATTCATTTAGATGGATACAAGTTTAGTATATGTCTGTCCCATGAATAATAATAATAATAATAATAATAATAATAATAATATTTATACTCTGCCCATCTGGCTGCGTTTCCCCAGCCACTCTTGGCAGCTTATAGCATACATAAAACATAGTAAAATATCAAACATTAAAAACTTCCTGATACAGGGCTGCCTTCAGATGTCTTCTGAAAGTTATGTAGTTCTTTATCTCCTTGACATCTGAAGGGAGGGTGTTCCACAGGGAGGGTGCCAGTACCAAGAAGGCATTCTCCTGAAAACACAGGATGCAACCCTGCATTTAACTTTGCATACTTAAGCTTAAGGGTAAATCCCACTAGGATCAGCAGGAAGGATATGAGACACATGTATAGGATCGTGGCACACATCTCATTTGTTCCAATGAGTAAGAATGTTCGTATAACCGTTAAGTGCTGAATTAACATACTGAGGCTTGGGGCACCTGTGAAGTGGGGAATTTCATTCTGTGAAGGCTTTCCCTAAGGTGCTGGTGAGGGTCGAAATTGTGCTTGCCAGAATCTCGACCCAGCAACACCCCATTGCCAGGCTGGTACCATTGAAGAACCATAGGGAAATGATGTCCCTGGGATATAGCTTGCTTCAAAGAAATGAAATAAAAATGTTGCCTATTGACAGCTTAGGGGTGAGGGAAAGGCCTCACTCCTCAACAGCATTTGCTCACTGTGTTATTTGTATTTATTTATTGCATTTAACACCCACCTTTATTTTCCAAGGAGCTCAAGGTGGTGCACATGGTTCCCCTCCATACACACACACACACCATTTCATCTTCACAACAACCATGTGAGGTAGGTTAAGGTTAGGTGACGCAGTTAGGCACACCAGGCCAAACTTGGGCCTACGAGGGAAGCCTGAAATGCCGCCTGGAAAGTTCAAGCCTGGTAAAAAAAAGGGGGCTAACGGGCTCTTTGCAAGCAACTCGAACCCAACTTCGTTCCCCGCCATCCGAATTAAGATCGAAATCGAGCTAAGCCTATTGTTTAGCAGCTCTGCCATGACCCGAAACTGACCTACTATTCCTAGGCTTTAAAAGGGGGCGCGGTGCTCAGTGGAAGCTTTTGAGGTGTTTACTTCTTGCAAATAAACTTATCGAAGTAGGTTTCTCCTTTCCCTCTTCTTTCTCTCTCTCTCTCTCTTTTGGTGGGGGAACAGAAAAGCGAAGAAACCCAACTGTGCAGATCAGGGGCCAAGAGAGGTGGGGAGAACCAAGGATTTCGGGTGTCACCTTTGGATGTGACCTCCTTGGTGTCTCTTCCCAAAATAAAGGGCTGGTTTCCAAACGCGTAAACCTGACGCTGAAGCGGCATAATCCTGATCGCGCAGATAAAAAAAAAGAGAGAGAGAAACAATCGCTGTGCTCCCCTGCTTTTTAAAAAATAAATAAGTCAACTCGGATCTTGCACGCCCTCTTGGCGCGCGATCAAAAGGCGCGCACAGGTTGCGCTTTGCTCAACGCGGAGCAGGGCGTGTGCCTTTGGAGCGTTCCCGCCTTCTTCTCCACCCCCTTTCCTTCTCCTCTTTCTTCTCCTTCTCGTCGGTACGATCTTCGCGACTCCAACTGAGTCACGCAACTCAGGTGCCCGGGAGGACCCAGCATGGGCTTTGCGTCTTGCTCCCTGATTTCGGGAACAGCAACTGCTCCGCTCCGCTCTGGCCCCGCGCGATCCGAGGCAACAAGCACCACTACCACCACCGCTCGCCTCTCGGTCGCTGCGACTTCGCTGAAGCGATAGCTATCTCCTCGAAAAGCCAGCCAGACCAGTTGGATGCCTTCTTGCGCTGCAGGTCCCTCTCGTCGGAAACTTTCGCCTGCTGCTCATCCCCGCTCCGGCTTGCTCGACTTCGAAAGCGCCCCGGACCCTCCGCACGGCTCGGCGGCCGGCTCTCCTGCCAAGCAAATGGCTAACCCGAACGCGCTCTCCAATGGACACCTGCACTGCCGCCAGAACGGGCACAGCTTATCCAAACGGGACGTTCGCAAGAAAAACGGGGTGGTTAAAGAGACCAAGGTGAGCTTTGCATTTCCGGTCCCACCTCTGGGACCCTTGGCTAACCAAACTAAGCCATATGCTTTTAAGCGTTCTACTTGTGTGTAGTGGGCGATTTAGCTCTCTCCCCCCCCAAAAAAATAATACACTGCACATGGGAATGGGGTCAACTCATCTTTTCTAACGCCCCAGCATCTTCAGGGCAGAAAGGCTTGATTTGCATCTGTTTTAGGCCCATTTCCCCTTCCCTGCCCTCCTCTTTCTGATTAGTTTTTAGCATGGCATATAAGCTGTTATACACGTTTTAAATATATGGTTATTCTCCTAGAAGCTCATGAGACTCTTAATCTCAGAGTGGTGGGTTCGGGCCCCCACATTGGGCGAATGATTCCTGCAATGCAGGGAGGTTGGACGAGATGACTCTGGAGGTCCCTTCCAACTCTACAAATCTACGATTGTTGGTAGCTTGAAACACTGCTTTTGTTTAAAAAACAAACAAACTGAAACATCTCTTCTCCCGCCCCCAGCATATGAATGCAGGATGGTCTTACTGTTTTGATTGTTGCATACAAAAATGAGGGGCAACTTGTATGTGATACTTATTTGTCCCAGTGTTCGTTCCACAGCTGGACTCCAGGTCAAGGTTCTTGTTAAACTATACTGTCCTCATTTGATGTCTCGTTGAGTTGCCTCCTTTGCTTTATCTTCCTCTGATTCAGCTCTCACACCTCCCCAAAGTTTTCTGACAGGTTGCCGGGTGTCAGCTTGCAAAACAGGTCTTTGCTGAAGTTTGAGAAGCAGGTGTGGGTGGGTTGGAGGGAGGGAGGGCTCTTCCCCATATAAGAAAAAAAACACAATGCTTGTGTGGTTGTGGTGAAGATGAAAGTGGGACATGGTGAAGTTTCCCATATCTGACCGCTGGTCCACCTAGCAGAGGCGGATTTAGAGCAGTGTGACCGGTTCCGCCACACTGGGGGCCGAGCCTAGGGGGCGTCACAACTATGACGTAGCAAATTGAACAGAATGGAAGGCTGTGTGCCGAATTTTGGCATCGCACAGGGCCAAAGTTGCCCCTGCATCAAGCTTAGTGTGGTCTACATGATTGGTCTTCAACCAGTGTGTTTGGAGTCACTAATGCGTTGCAGCGACATACTGCCATACAAATAAATGGTGTGTGCATATTTGTGTGTGTGTGGTCTCCAAACGCATGTTTGGGTTAACAGTGGGCCCCAGATCTGAAAAGGCTGAAGACTACTGTTGCAATGATGGTTAGTACCTCTTCAGAGCTTCAGACACACGTCTTTCCCACCTGGAATTGGATGGAAACTTCATTCCCTTTGCATCCAAAACACTTGCTCTAAACACTGAACTACAGCCCATTTTCCCCCCCGCCAAAGGCTGGAGGTGGGGAACCTGTAGCCCTTGTGATGCTGTTGGGCTACAACTCGCAGCCTCTCCATCCAGACTGCTCTATGGTCAGGGATGATGGGAGTTGCAGTTCAAAATCTGGAGGGCCTAAGGTGAAAACCGAGTTTCTTTCTAATAAGTCAAAGCTTCAAGAGGTAAGAAATAGATTGTATATGAGACTTCAAGTGCTGCGGTTTTGTTCAGTGAAGTAAAAAAAAGGTGTTGGTTCATACGCTAGTGTTGCTTGTTGAATAGTATCTTGTTTCTTACTTGTGAAGAAGCAAAATACCATGGTGGTAGAACAGCTGTTGATTGGATTGCTTTCCAAACTTGGAGGCTTTCCAAACACAAACTTCCTATCTAGAGTCTCTTCCTACTGTGAACTGCATACACGGCTATGCTTATTAAGTAGACGCACCCAATGCCTTGTCCAAGGAGTGTCTATGGGTGTCTCCTGCTTGCTTGGCATAAAACCTTAGTGTGAAGATGGGAGGGAAGAATACTTGTGCAACTTATGTGGAGGGATGTTCTGGGTGACTTCCATTCAGTCTGAGAGGTTCAGGAGTTTGATACTGGGCTCAGCCAACAGCAGAACAATGGGAGAGGACTCTGTGCAAGGAAAGAAATCATTCAGCAAATCTATTGATCTGCCTTAAGGGAGATACAGGCAGCCAATCAAATTTAACATACACCCCCTGGCTATTTTTTTGGCTTAATGGAGGTTTGCTGGGGATGTATCGCGAGCATGTACTGGATATTTCCAGTATAATATAATCATCACTGCCTATACCTTTCTGCATTTCATTTCCTTCTGTCCTCATTGCTTGCTGCTCCTGCCCCAGTTGTGTATATTGCGGGTGAGTAATCTGTGGTCCTCCAGATATTGCCAAACTAGAACTCTCATGAACCCCTGCCAGTATGGCCAGTGACCAATGAGGATAGGAGCTGGTGTTGTTGGGTTCCCCATCTTTGGTGTGCGTGCGTCTTATCTGAAACTCAGGATTCCTGCGTTTGACAACGTGGACTGTAGTTCATTCAAGCTTATGTCACAATGTGTTAGTCTTTAAGTTTCCGTCTGTTGTAGCAAAAACAACTTTGGATATTCTCTGTAACCTTTTACTAGTAATGTGTGGCACAACTCTTCATCTACTTCCTGATAAGCCTAGAACACTTTCTGAACTCTTCTTTGCCCCTTTGCTATTCTGTGAGCCTTTAGGATAACTAATTTTTGACTCAACTGTTTCTGGAGTCTGTGTACTCCCCATTTCCTGTTACGAAGCTTGGTTTCAGATGAGAGCAGGGTCACCTGCAGACCATACCTTTAAAGCACGTGGCTTTCCCCCAAAGAATCGTGGGAACTGTGGTTTGTTAAGGGTTCTGGGAATTGTAGCTTGAAGAAGGGTAAACAGTTGTTCCCAGGATTATTTTTGAAAAGCCATGAGCTTTAGATGTACAGTATGCGGTGATTACAAATCGCAATGAAATTCTCCCTTCCCATCAGAATTCTGTGTGTATGCTTCAAGTCTGAGTGACACTTGCTAGAGCGTTGCGTAAAGGAAAATGTGTTGTTAAAGCACAGGTGGTTTGATGAAGGTTGTAACGGTGCATTCCTTATAGCACTGAACTGACATTTTTATAGTATTGGGCTAGACTGAAAGTCTGTTCTCAACGGTTTTGCCCATTGTTTGCTCTGAGACACTGAACCAATACCATTTTAAGTGATGCAGCAGTCACATCAACTGGAATGCCAGCCTCAAACCAGTCAAGGATCTGCTGCTCTCTTTTGCCAAAAGAGGACATAGCTGTGTTGTAGGCCTCTTTGATGTCGTTCCACCTTGCTTCAACGCTGTCTCTGGGGCAGTTCAGTGGTGCTTGTTTGACGGAATCAGAGAAGTGTTCACAAAGTTCAGATATGACTGATGGTTAGTGTTGATGCGAGGCCTCGCTTTGGGCTATGGGTCTTCTGTGGCTGGAGAAGGATCTTACTCATCACTGGGGAATGATCCATGTCACAGTCTGCATCATGGTAGTTCCATGTAACAGTGCCAATCACCTGGTGACAAGTCCAGCCCACGGTGTGACCTGGGATGTCTCCAGGACAGTCACTGTTTTGCCTTGATAGAGGAGAGCATGCTTGTGATACAAAGGCTGTGAAAGCAGCACAGTTCAAACAGCCTTTGTTCTCGTTCATGCTGTCAATACCAAAATGGCCTACAGAGTTGTCTCATATGTGATGATCATTCTCAACTCTGCCACTGAAATCTCCTAGCAGGAATAGGCGCGACCAGTCTGGTCTAGTTCCTCGTGTAATAGGTCTTTGGACTGTATGTCAGAGCACATACTGGGAGCATAAATGCTCAAGATGTTAACTGGACTGGAAGTGATTGAGAGATGAACGGAAAGCAAGCATTCTGAACCCTCAGTTGGCAGTTCTGTTGCAGACAGAAGGAAGTTCCTTACTGCTAATCGTATGCCATGAATATGTGGTACTTCAGGATGCCCTCCTTGCCAGAAAAAGGTATAGCTCTCCTCTCACAGGCTGCCATTCAAAGAAAGTCTGGTCTCCTGTAAAGCATTGATGAAAGAGTTGAACATTTTTGGCTCACGGTCAATGATGGCCATCTGTATGTTGTTTCTTTTCTTTCTTTATTGCCTTGTGCAGTTTTTCAGGTAGATAGTGGCGGGTCAACATTAAGGCTGCCTGGCTTAAGCCAGGCAGTAGCTGACACTGAGACATGATGAGCTCTCCCACTGCCAAAAGCAACCGATAGCACTTGTACCTTATGCCAATCAGATTAGAGCTTATAATTTGTGGCGGCTGCCTCCCACATTGCTTTTGCTGTGCTAGCAGCACCAAAGTGACCTTTCTGGGGTGCAAGCCTGAGCAGTGTATGTGGAGGTCCTGGGCTGCCTAGACAACAAGACTCCTCTCTCAGCC